TCTGAAAAAGATATTAACATACTCCCCCCTTTTCAACTACATATTTGTGTGAGGCTGAATTTTTTTTCATATACTTTCACCCAAGCAATAATATCACAATAGGTTGAATACAGAATCAGATAAGAGAATCTGCCACTAGAGAGACTTATAAAAAATACTAGATGCCTGGTACATGAAAATTCATGCTCTGGAGGGGGTCCTCAGTCCAGCCTGCCCCCCTCACAGTCCAGGAGCCCTCAGGGGCCAAAGGCGACCAGGCAATCAGAGGAAGACAACACCCCATCACACCTCTACTGCTGCCACTGCCAGCAGTGCAAGCCTCGGCCAGCCCTGGTTACTTGAGCCTCGGGTAGCCCTAGATGGCTGGGCAGCCACCATCCAAGGCTTGCCTGCACCTTGTGCTGGCCCTGGGCACCTGAGGGGCTGAGGGGTCTGGGGGACTCCAGAGGCAGGTACCTGGCCTTGCCATGTGCCTACTACCCCAGCAGGGCTGAGGGGACTGGGCACCGCCATCTTGTGGCTGTGAGTGCTGCCATCTTTGAGGGTGGGTCGGTCAGTCAATTAGCATATTCCCTCCTTATTGGCTGTGGGCACTGCCATCTTTTGTGACAGCATGAGGATCAATTAGCATACTCTCTCTTTATTAGATAGGATAAATGCTATTCTCACTAAATATTTTCAACAAAAGTAGTAATTATGCAAAAAATATATTAAGTAATGTCAAGGGCTTTGCAGTTTTCATTTCAAACACACTAAATATGGATAATCTAGCCCACATAAGTAACGGCTCTTTAGAGTCTAATAATTTTTAAAAGTGTAAAATTCTTATATACAAATATCAAGTCATCACGTTGTGCATCTGAAACCAATATAATGTTATGTGTTAATTATAAGGCAATAAAAAAAATTTTTTTTAGGTTCTTATTTGGCTTAGGGGAGGAAAAAGAATGCAAAAGAGTTTTGAGATCAAAATGTTGGGAAACTGCTGCACTAACATATACTGCTTCCCTTGTTCTAAATTCAAAACATTCCAACCTTTAACCAAAAGATAGCAGAGGGAAGAAATCCCTGGGGGCATAGTGTCTGGATTAATCATTAAAGGAGCTTCTCTTTGTTGTTAGATGTCCTAGAGGTGTTTCCACTCTGGGGGCAATGCACTTTGGTAAGCACTTTGGGGTGGGTGAGGGCATTGCCTCCTGTTTGCAAAGCAGAGAAACTATTTACTATGCATATAAGCAAACTTCCCAGACTGTTATAGAAAGGGTGAGTGTAGAAGCTGAGGCTCTGGAAACCTATTCCTCTAAAACTGTCTGTGCAAGTGTACCCATGGGAAAGTCTCCATGTAACCTAGGAATAAGGTTTCCCAAGATACTGGTCTCCAGGCCCCACTTGGAAGAGATGGGAAGGGGAAAACACAGAACCTTAGATACTGGATATCTGGTAAAGAAGCCTTTTATTCATTTGGTTGCAGAGATCCTCTGTAGCCCCAGGAACACAAAAAACATTTTGCTAATTAGCATGTGACTCAGTCCAATTCCTGTGGTTGATGATCCATCCAGCAGGGCCTTGCCCAGCTCTGTGGCTCTCAGGCTGTGTGACTGACAGTGACAGACCTGGAGCTTTCCCCCAGTTATGACAGAAAAATCCAGCAGGATCCCTGAGTTCTCCTAGTCTCCTGCAAAGTAGGGATAACATTACCTACTTGGCATTTAAAGCACGTGGCACACATTATTAGATTAATAATTACCAGTACCATTTCAGTGCATACTCTGTGCCAGAAACTGTCAGGGGCTCTTCCTTTGTAAGATTTAGTCCTGACAAAAAGCCTGAAAAAGTAATTATGGCGTTTCTTTACTCCTAAGAAGGATTTTTGTCTACATTCAACACATCTAAAATTGAATTTGGTCTTGCATTTGATGTGCACGTGGTTTGTCTTGTTTAGTACAAAGCAAATAAATTGATGATACATCTTGTAATAAAAAATACAGTATGGGCCGAAACCGGTTTGGCTCAGTGGTAGAGCATCTATCTGCGGACTGAAAGGTCCCGGGTTCGATTCCGGTCAGGGGCATGTACGTTGGTTGGCACATCCCCAGTAGGGGGTGTGCAAGAGGCAGCTGGCGATGTTTCTCTCTCATCAACGTTTCTAGCTCTCTGTCAATAAAATATATTTTAAAAAAAAATACAGTATGGGTTTCCCCATTTTATAAATAGGGAACAAGTAACTTATTTAAGTCCACACATTTGGAATATGGTGGGACAGAGAGGTGAAGTGTGAACTGTCCATCGCCAAGACCTGGGGTTGTTTCATTGATTCATCACACCTGGCTGGCGTCTCTCCTCTCCCCGCCGCTGACGCTACTACACAGCCAGGACTTAATGGACAAGTGTCTGGTCCCACCCAGGCTTCGGGTGCCTCTTCGGCCCCTTTGCTCACAGAGTGTATTTGTCAGCATATCCCAGTGAGACATCTTTCGTTCAGTTAATCCTATATATCCAAGACAGAGTTCTTCTGAGACCTGCTGCTTAAGTTTAGTCCTCAAAGAACTAAAAGTGGACAGCTTGCATTGAGCACTTATGCACAATGCAGTTATAAAATATTTTACATATGAAAGACACTCCTCCACCCTATCCCCGCCACCACTAGGTTTCTTTCTAACAGTCCACCAACCCAGCCTGCCCCTAATCATTTTATCCTATACATGGAATCCAATGTGGCTAATGATCCCTGTGGGTGCCAAGGATATGCAGCTTCTACCTCCGACACCCACACTATTAAATAGATCCAGACTTCTCTCAGAGTGGGCAAAGTGTCCTCTTTAGTCCTAAGAGGCCAGAGTACCATGCTTTGAGGTGCTTCTGTTGTCTTTACAGAGGTTCTTTCAGTGTCATCTTAGGAGGATGTCAGAACCTGTAGTTGAAGCCAGTGTCTTTATAGATTACCTGGGCCATCAATACATTAACTGAAGAGCTGCTCAAACTTTGAGAAAAACTAGCTCTGAACCAACTCACAACATGTTGAAAAATGTGAGCTCAAAATGAAGCTTAGAAAACAATCTTTAGGACTTAACTCCATCAAACTTTCATTGTTTCATCTTTATTCTTTGAAACATTGAGAAAGTTTGTAATAAGGATTAAATAAAAGCCTTTGTCCAGGTATCTAGAAGAATCTTATTGCTTCAGATGGGTCTCCAATATATATTTTAGGATAATGGATGGTGGTGGTGGTGTCAAATTTGTTGCAAATGTTTTTTAGTATTTTTTCCCCTTTTGCTTGATTTTTGATGACTACAGGCTAGGGCTGTAGTTTATTTTATTACTTTTAATCTTGATCACTGACCATCAAAAACTTAGACATTCACCAATATTTTTTCTCCTTTTTAATAGTTTGATTAAAAAAACAAACAAACAAACAAATCATATAGGTCTAACCCTGGCCAGGTAAATCAGTTGGTTAGAGCTTATCCTGGTACACCAAGATTGTGGGTTTAATCTCCCATCAGGGCACATACAAGAAGCAACCAATGAATGCATAAATAAGTGGAACAACAAATTGATGTTTCTCTCCTCTCTTTCAAATCAACATAAAATTTTTAAAAACCATATAGGTCAAGATAGATGGTACAATGCTATGATCACATTAGCTTTTTCTTCTCAAATAGTTGACCAATTCTTATAGTGGTACCTTTTATTAAATAATCCCAAGTTAAGATATTCTTAACCATGCTGGTGAGGAAGTGGAACACGAGCCCAGAGCAAAGTGAGATGCGAATCAATCTGACTGGAGACTCCGATCAGCAACACTGGCCTATAGGAGGGAAGCGCCTGGGGTGAGGAATGCAGGCCCAGACCAGCCCCACTGCTGTGTAAGAACTGCTGCTGTTTGAAGGGCTGGGAAGGCAGTGGGTAGAATGAAGGATATAAAAACCCATGGGCATACTGTATACCGTAATGGTGGATACATATCAGTATGGATTTGTCAAAACCCATAGAGCTGTACAACACAGGGCGAACCCTAGTGTAAACTATGGATTCTAATAAACAACCATGTATCGATATTGGCTTATCAACCATAACAAGTCCACCACGTTAACGAAATACGTTAATAAGAGGGGAGACTTTGTACAGGGACAAGGGACGGCACATGGGAACTCTGTACTAGATGCTCTTTCCTATAAACCTGAACTGCTGTAAGATATCAAATCTCTTACTGTTATTTTAAAGTTGACACAGCTTGTTTCCCAACAGCTGGCACTAGGCGATCAGTATCTGCATGTCCTGTTTTAAGGAAGCAGTGCAGAGGGAGGTCAAGAACTGAGGGGTAGAAACTAGGTGTACTGACCAAAAGTGTCAATTAAAGATTCTTCTTGCCCTCGCTGGTTTTGCTCAGTGGATAGAGCACTGGTCTGTACACTGAAGAATCCTGGGTTCAATTCTGGTCAAGGGCACATGCTTGGGTTGCAGGCTTAGTCCCCAGTGTGGGATGTGCAGGAGGCAGCCGATCAATGATTTTCTCTCAGCATTGATGTTTCTATCTCTCTCTCTCTCTCTCTCTCTCTCTCTCTCTCTCTCTCTCTCTCTCTCTCACACACACACACACACACACACACACACATATATATATATATATATATATATATATATATATATATATATATATAAAATTTTATTTTAAAGAAAAAAGATTTTTCTTCTCCCCAAAAAAAGACCAGAAGTGTATTACAGTGTATTTCAATTGGGTATTTTATTGTTCTGGCAACTGCAAAATATACAAATTTCTGAAAGGCAGCCCCTGTGTGAAAGCCAGCACAGCTTCCTCCCAGGTAATTAATTCAGACAAATATACAGAATGCAGAGAAGTCTTAAGTCGCACATAAAAGGCCCCAAACCAACCGACAAACTATAGACCCAATGTAAAAGGTTTTCTATTTTCAAGCTCCCTTATACACATTAAATAAATAAATAGCACATTTGCTATCAAAATAATAAAAAAATAAATTTCAAGTATTACAAACGAAATCATCATTGGTGTGGTTCAAACAGTTTTTCTCCTCCCCGCAAACGAAGAGTTTTGTCCATGCTCTCAGGACAGAAAAAAGGAGAGGGGCACTTACCCAAAAACAAATATGCAAAGTTAAAAAAAAAAAAATTGGTCCCAGATATTTTTGTGGGGGAACAGGGGGTGAGAGGCAATGAAATAGCAGATGCTTCATGCCTGCAGCTCCCATACACCCTCCATCCAACGCCTCCTCAGAGGTCTCCTCAGCAGCATTCTGCTCCTCCAAGGCTCCCTCCCCATCCATAGTCATGCCTCTGCCCCACCCAGGCCCTCACAACTACGTTTGTGGGAGGCAAAGCCTCATTTATGTTGTACCGACTTCAGGCTGTCCGAGGTGAGGGGTGTGCACCTTCACACAGCCTCACTCAAATCGGCTAGGAGAGTCAAAAACCAGAGCTGGCTCTGACAGCCAGGAAGAGAATGCCAGAAAGTGGGACACGATGAAGTCTATCTCAAGAGAAGAACCACAGGCCCCTCTGCCTAAATACACGACCACCCTACAAGCACACACTTGTGTCAACTGGACAAGAGATAGTGAGAAAGAGGGAAAACAACCCATCTTCCATGGCACAGAATGTCACACACAGATCCTCTCAGGCAGACTGCCAAGTAAGGGACAGGGGTTGAGTGAATTGGTATGAAAGCCTCACATTTTATTGTATGGTATCTGAAGCTCATCCCACTTCTCAAGCTCCTCTCAAGTAAAAAACAGCTGTTCTCTCCACTTCCCACTCCCGCTGTCTCAGCCTGCCCACCTCTACTCTCAGCTAGCTCATAGGCTAAGCGGGGAGAGGAGGTCAGGCTCAAAAGCAGAGGGCAGGAAAGGAACACGACCTTTGGCACCAGCTTTTAGAAAGATCCTTAAAGGGTCGTTTGGACCAAAGCTGTCTCCACACCGTTTCTTCTGGACCTTAGGACACCCTGTACTTGGAGGCAACAAAAAGATAGAAACCACAGGTATTTGGAATCACATGTTCCCCAATTCCTGCTCAAAATGCCCCCCCCCCCAAAAAAAAAAAAATGTCACAGGTGCCACTAAGGCAAGAGAGAACATTTCCCGAGGAATTCCAACACCATGCCCGGCATACAGCAGATGCTTCGTGAAAACGTGCGGGAGCGAGCGGACTCCTGCGGGCAGCCATGAACACAGCCTCTTGGAGGAAGCGGCCAGAGGGGGGCCTGGCTGGGGCCACTGTCCCCACGAGGAACTATGGGAAGTGATGAATGTCCTGAAGGCTGGATCCTCGCTCTTCTCCATGCAGTCTCTCAGGGACTGTCTTGCAATGATTTGAGCTCTTGCTCCACAGCCATTTACCGGGGTTCCTCTGTGCTCCCCATCTCATGGGAACGCCTAACTCCACACATTCTTCCAGAGCTTTAGCCCCCCACAGGCACAAAACCCAGACATCTAAGTTCCTGAAGGGAAGTTGTGATTTTCACATGTTCTGCCAGAAAAAAAAACTGAAAGCAAAGCAGGCCAGGGAAGCCACGTCTCACTCAGGTGCCTCTGATCCAGGGGGAGGGCCCGGTGCCATTTCCTCTTGCCAACACCGCCAGACTGTCTAACATCTTCAGCAGCTAAGCACAGACCGGGGACGGTGTGTGGACACGGAGAGGGTCACCGCTGAGCTGCTGAGCAAGTCCAGCTCAGGGACTTCTGTCTGTACCTCCAGACGGGCTCTCTGGCCGGCTCCACCCCAGCAACTTGTCTTCGCAGGTCAACATCCCAGATAAAGATGCACCAACAAGCCTGATGAACGTTTTCTACATCCCTGAACCGTCGGCAACTGGGACGTAGGCCCCTTTAATCTTAGGATTCTGAGACTAGTGTCACCTTCCCAGCAGGGAACATTTTAGGCCAAAGTCACAGACACGAGACAAAACAGCACGAGGTGCCCAATGTCCCCTCCTCAGGGCCTTCCCTCACCTCCTCCATGGCTCATCGTCCTCACCAAGTCTTGTGGAGGGTCCGTGAGGCCACAGCCTGGACAGGAGGGAGAGCGTGGGATGGGGGTGGCCACAGAATCATAGGTTCTGTCCACACACAGGAAAGGTGCGTTGGGGTCTCGGCCGCCCAGGTGCCGCTGGGAGCAGAGGTTCCCTTTGGCCAGCAGAACCCTCTTCCACATCGCCCAGCCCTTTCTGGGAGAAGGTGTTGGACAGACGGTCGGCCTCGGGTGGCGGGAAGAGCCCTACCTAAGCTGCGGGGATGGACATGGAATGGAACCGACAGGTCTGCCTCAGTGCGTCGGGGAGGAGTCGACACTGCTCCGGGAGCCATTCATGTTCTGTTTTCAGGAGAAAAAGGGTGGGGAAGGGGAATTGTTATTACTGTCGACTAGGTTTCCAAAGCAAAAGACTGAAGCCATGCAACTGAGACTTCAACCTCTATCCCCCCAGACAAAAACACAATCCCGGAGAGCGTCAGTGACCAAACTGGTGGCAATTACCCAGGGAGCTGCCCCAGGAACATGTGGAGGTTAAGGCCAGGGCCGCACGGGAGAAGGGCTTTGTGGCTGGAGAAGGAGAGAAGGGGCAGCGGGCAGCTCTGTAGGTTAGAGCTGTCCCGGGGAGCAATGGGGCCAGCACCTCCTCAGCTCACAGCCCTCAGGAGCTGCGGGGCTGCCCCTGCCCCGGGAAGTCTTGTTGGCCACGCCAGGCAGAAGATGCTCCAGGAGGCCCTCTAGACAGCATGAGGACTCTCTCCCCACCCAGCTCAAGTAGCCGCACCCCTCAGCCCCTGGATCCAGATCCTAGGAACACGAGCTCGGCAGCAAGACACAGGTGCCGCAAACAGGACGTGGGCACTGTCACTAAAGCTCTCTTCCCGTTCTCATAAAAGTAATCCCAGCCAGAAGCCTCACCTGTGAGAAACTGGCCAGTACCAAAACCCACTAAAAATGTTTTTCTAGCCCTGACCGTTTTGGCTCAGTGGATAGAGCGTCAGCCTGCGGACTCAAGGGTCCCAGGTTTGATTCCGGTCAAGGGCATGTACCTTGGTTGCAGGCATATCCTCAATAGGGGGTGTGCAGGAGGCAGCTGATCAAAGTTTCTAGCTCTTAATTGCTCTCCCTTCCTCTCTATAAAAAAAAAAAAAAAAAAAAAAAAAAAAAAAAAAAAAAAAAAAAAAAAAAAAAAAAAAAAATTAATAAAAAATGTATTTTATTTTTTATTTTTTAAATATATTTTATTGATTTTTTACAGAGAGGAAGGGAGAGGGATAGAGAGTTAGAAACATTGATGAGAAAGAAACACTGATCAGTTGCTTCCTGAACACCCTCCACTGGGGATGTGCCCGCAACCAAGGTACATGCCCTTGACCGGAATCAAACTTGGGACCCTTGAGTCCGAAGGCTGGCCCTTGACCAGAATCGAACGTGGGACCCTTGAGTCCGAAGGCTGACACTCTATCCACTGAGCCAAGCCGGTTAAGGCAAAAATATATTTTTAAAAATGTTTTTCTATCAGCTGGAGACAGGTTATGGCTGCCATTGCACAGCAGCGATCTCTTTAACCTCCCTAAATTACCCACCCAAAAGGGAGGCACTTTTTAAAAAGTGTCCTCTCCCATCCTGAGTGTTTACACCAAGATTGTCTTATAGGGCAGAGGTACAGAATGGAACCCAGAGAGACAAATATGCAAGGACCACCTGGGCCCACTCCCCTCCCCTGCAGAACCGAGGGCCCCGGTGCAGGAATCCCTGCAGAAGAGAAGCCCGGGCTGGGAGCACTGACGGCAGATCTGAGCCTGCTCTCAGCCGGACTCAGGAGCCCAGGCGACCCGACCTCCAACCACAGCACATCAGACAGTGTCTGTGAAGTGGGTGTCTGTTGGGGAAGACTCTGTAGCCTCGAAACCAGAGAGGACCCAGCCAACGTGTGGGGTCTGAGCGAGATGCTGCCCAGCTGCCTCCAGCCCGCCCTCACACATGTCACGCCTAACTCCGAGCACCCACAAATGGTGGTGATGAGGCAAGGACACCAGGGGCTGCAGGCACAGGCATTGTCAAACCATTCACTCATGGCGTCCCTGGCTCAGGACACATGGAGGGGAAGGAGGAAGTGAGAGAGGGACCTCGGGACAATGGTGCTGCTCTTTAAAAAATCATGAGTTCTCTGGCATGGGGTGTATGAGTCACACACTTCACAATGGCCAGTCTCCACACAGACCGGGGCGCCCTGCCAGGCAGAGATGCCATGACTCAGAGAGATGCGAGGGGACCGAGAGGGGCATGCACTGAGCCATTTACCTTTCCAAGGTTAATAAGGAGAAAACTTTGAGAAAATGTGACAGACAGTTCGTCTTTCAAGCATAGTGGGGGCAAAGGAAGAAACATGTTGGAAAAGAAAAACAAAAACAAAATACAACATCTTTAGTAGCGTTTTGCTGTTAGTATGCATTTGAAATTTCAAAGTCAGGGCTGCGTGATGAATGGCTGGCCCCAAGCACAGGGGACAGCCCCCAGGACTAGACGGAGGACACCACACTGGCTGGGCCGTCATGCTCGCCTTATTGGGAAACCACACTCACTGGCACCCTGCAGCCACAACCCTTAAGATCCCAAGGGCTCCTCCACTCCCCGGGTGTCTTGGAGCTCCTACTGCTCATGAGAAGAAATGCCACTGGCCTGTGCAGAGGGAACAGGGGGCACCAAAATGCAGAGTGGAGTGCAAGCCAGAGCGCTCGACATCACCGAGGCACAGGGCTCCCTCTCTCCCACCATAAGTACCGGCCACAGGGCACTGACTACGTGCCAGAGGCTCTGTAAGAGCACATTATCAAACACCTCGCAATGTCCCTATCTCCATTTCATAGGCAAGGAGGTTGGAGTCCTAGAATGGCACCACCTTGCCCAGAGTTCCAAAGACAGAGGTAGTAGAGCCAAGACTGAACCGGGCTCAGTGTGACTAACAATGCATTTTGGAAGCTGCAGCCCCAGACAAGGGCTTGTGCTCCCGGGCAGGGCTGAGTGCGGAAATCCCAGAGGGAACGCAAATGTGAAGGGTTCGGAGAACACTTGTTTGCTGGACCGGAGGGAGTCTAGCCAAAGGTACCATTAGTCTTAGAGATGGGCACGTTCAAGCTTAGTAGGTAGGGGAAGTGCCCAAATGGCCCCCTCCAGCAGAAAGATCTCTTTCCTGGCAGCTCCAGGCCATGTAACAGGAAATGCACAAATACCAGGGGAGACTCCTAAAGCCTACATTTCATGGACACACCCACATTAAGTAAACACACCTCAGCCACGGGAAACAGCTGCGTGGGAGAGGCCGCAAGAGCTTAAAAAGATCAAACAGCTCCAGGCAGTGGTAAACGTCAGGTGCTCAGGCAGGGCAGGGGAACAGTATGGTAACTGTTCCCAGAAACCAGCCCGGAGAAAGCAGCCAGCCTCACAAGTCCTGGTTCAGGCACTCACTGCCTGACCTAACTGCCCTGGACATCCTGGGGTTATTTTAAGGATCAAAGGCAGGAGATATGTGCAAGCACTACAGGTGGTGCCACCTAATCTAAGCGCCAAACAACTCCTGTTTTCCCAGAGCAAGCCAGGCTCTTAAGCTTATCAGGCTGACCTCCTAAAGGCCTTTGGCTTTGGCATGCACTGGGGGAGGTACACTAATCAGCAAAAAGGATCACGGGTAGGTGTGACCTGAGGGGTTGGAGAGGCTGATCTTTCTTGGTGGCTATTCTGAAATTGCAATAGAAAGGCCTCGGTTCCTTCTGTAGTTGGGGACCACCAGAGCCCTGGAAACAATGAACCAGAATTTTCTGCAGAGAGCTCTGGCTGCAGGAAAGGGGAAACCAAATGGGTCTGACTCAAAAGCTGCCCCAATCCTGAACATGACTATTAAGGCTGAGCAGGTTCCCACACAGGACAACCTGATCCAAAACAAAAGTTTCCAGTCAGACCTCTCCAAAGTGTGGGGCCCTCGTCTGGTAAATGGGGATAGTAACTGCCCTCAGACATCCTGGGGTTATTTTAAGGATCAAAGACAGGAGATATGTGCAAGCACTACAGGTGGTGACACCTAATCTAAGCACCAGGGGGTGGGAGGGGGAGGGGGGTAGACCCTGTTAGGACAGGAGGGAGAGGTCTCTTTCTCTGTTTTGCAGATTGGACTCTGGGTAAACGTTCCCCTAGGAAGGAAAGGCTCTCCGAGGGGGAGACACAGAATTTCAAATAGCAGCAGCAGACAGAAAACTTAGCTCACCACCAAAATCTGACGCCAAGGGAAACAAATGAGATTTAGCATTAACAATAACCCAGGGCGTCAAGAGGGAGTGAGGAGCCAGCTGTGGCAGTGATAAGAAAACAGCTGGGCCGTAATCACTTTTGTGTCTTGTGCTCTAGATTCATGAATCTCTCCTCTCCCTCCTCCCATGGCCATCTTGTCTCCTTCGTATTTCATAAAAACCATCGTTTACCTCAACATTTCAACAGACAGGAGGCCAAACGGGCAAGCAAGGAGAAAGAGGTGCTAGCAGCAAAACCATACAGAGAAAAATACTTACAAACAGGCTTTCCCTAGCAAAGGCTGCAGAGAGAAAAGGTTGAGAGGTCAGTAGAGGGACAGGGTACAAGGCCCAGGTCGTGTGAAATCAGGATTCCTCTGCTGGGACCCCCAGCCTGGCCCCTCATCCAGACTCCCTGGGGATTCAACTCAGCAACCCCGAAGGCCTGTCCTGCCAAAGTTGGGAGAGCCCCAGCTATGCATCCTCCGTCACCGGGGACAGTGCAGCCCCACACACCCCCGAACCCAGCCCACACCAGTCCCTACCAGTGTAGGTTACAGGAGCCCCTAAACTTCCAACTATGACCCCACAGTTTACACCAGAACAACGTCACAGACATGCCACGTAGAACTTCAGTTGTTTTCATAAAACAAAACAAAACAAAAAAACTCTCTCATTTTAGACATAAAAGGAGTATTAATTAGATATCTCCAAGTCCTACCCCATCATTTGGAAAGCTAAGGAAACTGAAGGCCAGGGAGAAATGGCCTACTGTTAGTGCCAGGGGCAGACACTGTGCTTGATGCTCAGCACTTATTCCCTCATTTGATGTGCTATGGCAGTTGGCGCTACTCCCCTATTCTACAGATGAGAAAACCGAGGCCTGAAGAAGTTCAATGACCGGCCCGAGGCTGCACAGCACTTGTCCCCACCTCTCATTTCCAGACACCACAGGCTTTAAATGAGGTAGAGTACAGGCCTTAGTGCCAAACTCTTAGACCAATCCAATCCAAAGTTAGCCGTGACTTCTTTGTAAGAGCTAGGCCTGGTGGGTGGAGGTGGGGGAAGACCTTGGTGGGACCCAAATTTGTGCCCAGAGATTTCTATGTCTCACAGATTCTTCGGCGTCATTGAAGGAAAAGTGGTTTTCTAAAAACAAATCCTAATTTGTTCTCCCGGTAGTGAAGATCTTTCAGTGTTTAATCTTCTCAGGGAATGAAGTGAAGCCTAGTAGGTTTTTTGCTTTTGGTTTTTCCACTGCCTGCCGGGGTAACTGCTGTGAGAAAGTGGCTGTTTCCAGGCCATCCGGCCCTGTGAGTTGGGCTGCCCCGGTTCCCACATGCGGGCTCCAGCTGAGGACATTCTCGAGGGCCCCCTCTGACTACAGCTTTTCCACAATGGGGAGCCCCGGCGGGAAAGGAAGGAGAAATTCTCAGCCAGGGGCCTGGGACAGAAAAGCCGTCCTTGGGCCATGCAGAAGCCTGCGGCCAGAGCTGCATGGAGACTTCCAAACTAGGGGCTGCCTTCCACTCCGCTTTCAAAACCTACCCACCAAGGTGAATAGGACACAGACGCCACCATTTCTCCTGCTCTGTCCGGTTCTGCCCAGTGAAGGGAACCCCTCAGAAAGCAGCTACGCAGGCTCACAGCCATGGTCAGGACGGACCTGACGGGACCTCCGGGATGTTATAAACTTCAGGCGCTATCTCGTGTTCTTCCCCTCCCCCGACCACACGCAGGCGTGGGTCTGAGGCTATGGTGGCACCCAGGGGCATCTCCCCATCTGGACGGGAGACAGGACGGCCAGGAAGGAAAAGGGGGGTCACGCACTTGTCCAGGCAGCTGCGCGGGCACCTCCGTGGGCAGGCAGTTGGGCAGGGAAGCGGAGGCAGAGGCCACATGCTCCTCAAAGCTGTTGATGCGAGGCTTTTTGGTGGGCTCGGGGCTGGCTAGTGGGGTGACACTATTGCGTCTCATGAGTGGGTTAGGTCCCTTCTTTGCGTCCTAAGCGAGACAAAGACAAAAGAGAGAAGGCGACAGTTACACGGAGAGGGGAGGTAAATAAGCCAAAAAATAAAAATAAAACCCAATCAAAACACATTTCTCTGCTTCTGGAGTTTACTGACAGGACAAGACCGACCAAGGTGAATGGCCCTGGGACCACGGGGTGCCATTCTGTCTTACATCTCCCAATCGACAAAGGCTGGTCTCCATCTGAGGCCCTTTTCCAGATAATTCCAAAACACCCACCCACCCAGATAAGCTCGACATTCACCAAGCAGGGCGAGGGGAGAACAGTAGGACCAGTTCTCACAGTCATTCAGTTACAGCAGACAGAGAGGTGGGAGAGAAGGACCTTGCTGCCATCCTCCCAGGGGAGACATGGAGGGGAGAGAGGCCTGGGAGTGAGCTCTGGGAAGGGGACAGGATGGCAGGACAGGCGGGCAGGAGGAAGGTGTCGGTGCTGGACGCCCCCGTACTGACCGAGAGCCAGGATCTGCAGAGCACGCATGGAACAGCTCCTGCGTCCACACTACACCCGGCTCAGGACAGGAAAGGCGGTTCCAAAGCCAACAGGAGACCGAGGCCGGAGGGAGGCAGAAACGACCAGCCAGAGCCAACCATTGGCTAAGTGACAATGCGAATGGAGCGATCCCCATGGCCTGTCGCTAGAGCTCATTACCCGGGAGACTGAGCTGGAGTCGGTCTCCACCAAGGACCTGCTCCGGTTCCGCCCAGGGTGCAGGGACCATCAGAGCCCCGGGCAGCCGAACCTGGTGCTGGGGGGTCGGGCTGGGAGGCTGCTCCGCATAGAGCCAGAGGAATGCAGCATCTGCCACCCACAGAGGTTCAGAGAGGGGGTCACAGAGCCCGGGGATGCTGCCTCCTGCGTTTCAGTCAACCAGCCAGGCAACTGCCGGTGGAAGCCAGGGTTTTAATGCCAGAATCTTTTGGTCAAGCTCCCAGGGAACAGGAAAGTCCCCTGAACAGACGGGAATGTCATACGTGATATACAGGAAAGTGTGGGACTGATGCTGGCAAAGCACCACATTACAAAATAAATCCCAACTTTCTTCCATGACACACACGTGGGCAGAAAGTGGCTCTGCCCTGGGGAGAGCCCGCCAGGCCAAACACCAAATCTCAGACCTCCCAGGGGACGATCAGATTCCACCAGGCACTGCTGTCTCCTGGAAAAGTTTCCACCCACCATCCCTCTTGTCCCTAATTTCCAAATTATAGGTTTCTCCACCTGGCCAGCATGGCTCAGTGGTTGAGTGTCAACCTATGAAACAACAGGTTGTTTCCAATGATTGGATTCCCGGTCAGGGCACATGCCCAGGTTGCAGGCTCAGTCCCCAGTGTCGGGCATACAGGAGGCAGCTGATCAGTGATTCTCGAATCATTGTGTTTCTATCTCTCTTTTCCTCCCCCTTCCGCTTGGAAAAAAAAAAAAAAAAGTTTTAGCCAAAACCGGTTTGGCTTTAGTGGATAGAGCGTCAGCCTGCAGACTGAAAGGTCCCAGGTTTGATTCCGGTCAAGGACATGTATGTACCTTGGATGCAGGCACATCCCCAGTAAGAGGTGTATAGGAGGCGGCTGATAGATGTTTCTCTCATCAGTGTTTCTAGTTCTCTATCCCTCTCCCTTCTTCTCTGTAAAAAAAAATCAATAAAATATATAATATATAATATATATATAATATATATATATGTATATATATTATATATATATGTTTTAAAAAGTCCTAAGTTTCTCCAGTTCCACTTCCCTTTTCACTATTATCCTTTCCTGGTATTTCTGCACCCACCCACAAAGAGATGATCACTTTAACTAGTGGCCCTGGAAACTGAAAGCAGTTTTCGCTGCCTCAAAGGAAAAGGCAACATACGTGTGCTGTGGCCACAGCTAAAGAGCAGAACGTGTCTCCCTCGCTGCTACTCGCTTATCGGTCAAGGAGAAATGGGAGAAGAAAGCATGGAAAGAGAAAAAAAGAAGACGGCAAGGAGCCACAAGGAAGACGGGGCAGGAGCGCACAGATGCTGAGAAAAGGGGAGAACCAGGTCCTCCTGGTTCCAACAAACTCTCTCCGTGAGAACAGAGGCTTCCTTCAGCATTTACAGGCAACACAAAACGAGGGACTTCCCAAGAGCTCACACGTTTGGGTCCCGCCCCGACAGTCCTAGGGATGGAGGACAGGAAAAAGTGCTAAAGCTTCCACTCACCTCTGACCTCTCCCGGTGTGTGTTCACGGACTCCACATTCAGGTAGATGGATTCTACACGGCAGCCTGGCCGGGGGAGAGAACAGCTCAGGGTTAAAGGGGACAAGCTGCTTGCAGCCCCGCAGGCACCGGGAGCCACAATCCCAGGGCAGCAGGGCTCATGCAGTGCGGCCTGCGTCACCACACTCACCATAAGCGACCGGCGTCAGCTTCAGGACGGTGTGAAGGGGGCATCGCAGGTAAGGCATTTCCTCTGAAAAGATGAGAAAGGGCCCCACGATCAGACATGAGACTTGGGGATGGACATTCCCAGGCCCCCAGCGAGAGCTCGGCCAGGCCAGACCCTCAGCGGCCTCTCCTCGGCCCCACCCCTCACACAGGCCCTCCTGGAAGGTGGGCAGTCCTAGAAAGACACCTAGCCCAAAGAACAAAACCAGAACACACCCCGAACCCACTCTCACAGAATGAGTTACAGTTAAAAAAAAAAAAAAAAAAAAAAAAAAAGGCGTGCCAGAATTCAGCTGAACCTCCGACTCAGGCTTAAATTTTTCAGGCAGAATTTTCTGGGCTATTTATTCATTAGAGGGGGGCTGCAGAGACGAGCCGGCCCCTCCCCCTTGCCCAAAGCTGCCGAGAAGCAGATGAAAGCTTTCAGGGGCTGTGAATGAAGCCTTTGGCCCACCATGCCTCACGTCCTGCTATGAGGCTACCAGGGGCTGTCCTGAGGGCTCTCAGAGGCACAGCACCTCGCAGGTCGGGGAATACAGGACCAGGTCTGCCGCTACCCCATACATATTTTCTCCTCCTCCTTTCAGGATGGCAACCCACCCTCAGCCCCCCACCCCCAGGACGCTTTGGGGAATGCGGCACCTGCACTCTTATCCAGGAAGTAGGCCAGCAGGCAGCGCAGGACAGCCTGGTGGCAAATGACCAGCACATTCTCCTGCCGCTCCAGCTCCATGATCACTGGCTCCAGGCGCTGGACCAGGTCCTGATAAGACTGCAGGATGGAAGGACAGAGGAACAGGCGTTGTGCTGGAGCCGCACACACAGGAAGGCAAGATCTGGGCTGCCTTGGCCACCCCTCACTATGAACTAGAGGACATATGATTGATTGAGCAGTCAACACCCAGGTGGGTCTTAGTGCTGCTGCCTGTGGGCCCTGGGAACCCACCTCAGCATGCTCCCTCGGAAAGGGAAATCGCCGTGTGTTGCTGAGGAGGTGGAGAAGCGATCCTGAGGACACTGGCCTGCACCCTCCCTCTCTCACCACTCCTTCCCTCCCTCTCCCTCTGCAGGAGGAGTGAAGTCCGACACATGCTGCAGCATAGATGAACCTTGAAAATGGTACACTAAGTGACAGGAGCCAGATACCGAAGCCCACAGCCTGTACAATCCCATTTATATAAAACCAGTGGCCCAGTGCATGAAATTCATGCATTGGGGGGGAAGGGGGAATTCCTTCAGCTCAGCCTGCACCTTCTCCATCTCCCTTGGGGGATGTCTGTCTGCTGGTTTAATCCTGATTCTAGAGATTTCATTCCCAACGCTCTACCCTTCCTACCTACAGGGGTTGGACCTAAACCGGCAGTTAGACATCTCTCTCACAATCGGACTGCTGGCTCCTAACTGCTCACCTGCTTGACTCCCTAATCGCCCCTAACTGCCACTGCCTGCCTGCCTGATTGCTCCTAACCCCTCTGCATGCTTGCCTGATTGCCCCTAATCTCTCTGCCTACCTGCCTGATCTCCCCTAACTGCTCTCCCCTGCCAGCCTGATCTTGTCCCCAACTGCCTCTGCCTGCCTGCCTGATTGCTTCTAACCCCTCTGCCTGCCTGCCCTGATCTCGTCACCAACTGCTCTCCCCTGCAAGCCTGGTCTCGATTTCAACTGTCCTCCTCTGCTGGCCTGATCTGGCCCCTAATGGCCCTCCCCTGCTGGCCTAATCTCGCCCCCATCTGCTCTCCCCTGCCTGCCTAATTGCCCCCAACTGCCTCTGCCTGCCTGCCTGCCTGATCATCGCTAACTGTCCTCCCCTGCAGGCCAATTTGGTTCTGATTGGTCGATTTCTATGCCAGTCAGCGTTAAAAGCTCTGCCTCGTTGGCAGCCACTGGCTCCTCACAGTTCACCCAGACTTAGTTCTGACTGGCCAGTTTCTATGTCAGTCAGTGTCTCTGGGTCTATCTTCAGGTCTGATCAGAAAGGCAGGGCTGATCAGCAGCCCCCACAGAGGTCCGGAAAGAAACAGAGTCGTGGCTGCTGGTGAAGCCTGAAGAGAAAGAGAGAGGCAGTGGCTGATCAACAGCCCAATACCTCAGCCCCTGAAGGACCGTGGTGCAGGCACAGCACACAGCAGCTACACCTGGCCATTGCTCACCGAATGAACAATGACCCTAGGAGGAAGGGACAGCAGCGCCAACAACGTACCTCCCCAGTGGGGTACCGGTAGTAGTACTTGTCCTGCTCGCGCAGAGCGTACTCCTCAGGGTAGGTGTCCTTGATCTCCTCGTAGGTCATCTCCTCACAGACACCCTGGAGAAAAGACCCGGTCACCTTGAACTGGTCAACACACACGTGTGGTCTGAATGGGCTCTCAGGATTTACAGCACATTCGGCAAGAAGAGGCTTCCTGGCCCTCTCGCTTCTGCCCCCCAACGGCCATCGCCAGACCCGGAACTCACAGCGTCAATTTCATTGAGCGCTTTCCACTGTTCATAGGGAAGCTGAAGGGCTTCAGCCGTCTGGATGGTGCTCTTCAGCTGGCTGGCCCACACCTTGAGGTCCTTCAGGTTCTGCTCCTCCACAAATTTGCTCAGGGCGTTGGCAAACTGAAGGCAGGGACAAGAGGGACACACACTGGACTCCCGGCTCCTGTGCCCCCTGGAGAGGCAGTGCCGGGCTCATTCCCTGTACTGGGGACGGTCACTTGGCTGTCATGAGGATGGTGAGGAGACAGAGAGCAACTGAGGAGCCACCTTCCACACACCCTCCTTTCATCCCTGGAGACACTCCCTTCCCTTACACACAAACACAAGCACACACACAGGAACACATACATACATACAGAGATGCACACACACATACACACAAATGTAGATATATACACACTGGGGCACACAGACACACACACACACACACACACACACACTCACACCCCACTCTTCAGCCCCAGTACCTTTCCCCCTGTTCCCTTCCTACCTTCCTGCCCCTGACGGACAGGCCTGAGTCCCCTCCGATCTTCCCCTGGAGGTTGTGCTCGCTCTCTCCGTGCCGACATAGGTAGATGGTGCGAGGCTGCACGTGGATGTTCATCAGGTAGTACACGATTCGGCTCTGGATGTGGTCCTGAACTCTGTTCACCAGGAACCGCCGGCCCACGTCGATCACCTTGATCAGGGACAGGTCCCTGTGGAGGAAGGCAACTGGCAGGTCAGAACCCGCTCCCCCCATCAGTGCAGCACCCGGTTGGGGCCAAGGACAGAGATTGGCCCCAAGAGAACCACACCATCCAGCTGTATGTTCTCAGAGGGCACAGTCTGCTTCTATGTGATCTAACAGTGAGTCTGTAACTCACACAGCAGAGTGTGTGAAAGAGGTGGGAGAAAAATAGGCAATACCAAAGGGACCCAGCCACTGGCTGAATATTCCTGCACGGCGACATAGTTAAGTGTCTGAAACAGTTACACTGGACATGCAGTGAAGGATTTTGTTCAAAAGGTATTTTAAAAGAGTTCCTGAAAGTATCCAGGAGCAACTGCACTGTGGGAACTTAAAAGCCCTAAAGTAGGTGACCCAGAGAGGATCCCCTCCGAAGAACTACCTGTCATATTTGTCAGGGTCGAGGGGCTGATAGCTGGCTTCATAGCAGTTAATTCTCTTCATGAAGTCCTCCATGGCCTCTGCTGAGTTGCAGTCTCTGTAATCCGGGCTGGAGATTTTCACTTCCTGTAACACCACAAAGAGGCAGCTCATGAATCACGCGGCAGACTTTCTGCTAAGCTGAAGCAGGATTTGGGGCAGGCAATTTGGGGAAAGCACAGACAGCCTTGAAATAATGGATGATCCGAACCAGTGTTTAAGGGAAAAAGGAAATACACTGGTGCTGAGTCATAACCCGACAATCCCTGGTAGACAAAGGATCGCTGACTGGATGGACAGAGACGGGGGACCCACGAGGGGTCTAATGTACACCTCTGAATGGGCCACAATTTGGGATCAACCCAGTGGGCATGTCACCTGCAGCATCCCAGCCCTCGATAACTGAGCTCTGTGTAAGCACCTGAGACGTTCTCCACACCAAGAACAGGCTTCCCGTTAGCAAAGCTGCCTCCGGCGCTGCTGCGCTGGCCCCGGCCCTGGGTGCCAGGCAGGGCGCTTCCTCCACCACCATAGACTGGCAGCAACCAGTCCACGATTAGCACTTTTCTAACCCAGGCCCGGTTCCTTCCAAGGTTCACTCATATGGGAAAAAGATGGAGGAGAACCAACTCTCAAGCCTGCCATCGCCTCCTCTACGTGAACAATAGGTCTGAGCAACCTGGCAGGTTGTAGGGAGAATCAATTTTTCAACGCATGAGTCCTTTTCCTCCACAACTACCAGAGCCACAAAAGAGAGGCAGCTACTCTTTCAACACCGGAGTCCAGTGGGGAGTTGGTGTTTCATGGTGCAGAGCTTCAACCGGAGAAGATGAAACAGGTCTAGAGCTCGATGGTGGTGGTTGCACAATCATGTGACCATGCTGGAGGCCATGGAATGGATCCCTTAAAAAGAAATCTTTTCTCCCCGCATGGCCACCCACACAAAGAGGACAGTTAAGCTGCAAAGTCTCTTTGAGGCTTAATCAGAGAAAGAGGCTTCTGAACACGGGGGGTTGGGGCGAGTGAGTCCTGGCCGCACACGTGGTGACAGCTGCTCACCGGGGAAGCGAGACTTTGCAGCAACTCTGTCCTTCACTACCAAGTGGAGCTAGTAGGACCCAACCAAAGAAACACAGCGAAGCCCTTTGTTTAGATTACAACAGCTTCTGTTTCCTCGTCCTTTGAGCCTCTTCCGCTGAAACCACTCTGGGCTGATTTTCCACAATGTGAATAGCCCTTCCTGAACTATGAACTCACTTCTTAGAAATGCGTGTAAATATTCCCACTGCCTTGGAGAACAGGCCCAGTACCAGAAGCTCATGAGCATTCAGCAGCCCTTCAAAGATGCACACTTATATGTAGCCATAGACAGAAAGTTATCTAGAAGGTGACTTGTGGTAAAGTCTCCACAGTAACTGTTTCTATTTACCGTATACTGTTATCAAGTGATACAATTTCAGAATGAATCAAATTAAGCTGCCCATTACCCTCAGTTATGTGGGCAACCTTCTCTTGGCCCAGGAAGGAGGATATGTAGATTCACCAGAAGGAAAAGAATTTGATATTTGCTTACCAAATTGGGAATTCTGCCTTTAGTCCACTGAGTCCTCCGGCCGTTGTCAATCCACAACCACTTACCTGCCTGGAGGGCTGAGCTGCCCCTTGCCCCAAGCAACCCCATCACCACCCAGACGCCACGCTACTGCCACCCCCAGAAACTGTTCCTGGACGCTTTCTGGAAGGGCCCTGGATAAAGCCAGGCCAGATTGCAGAACATGCTTCTAAATTAAATAACACTCCACATGTCTGACCTCCCTGGATCCCACCTCCCAAAAAATATCAACAACAAGCTGAGAGAGGCAGCTTGTTCTCAGAGTCTAGATACTGCTCTGGGCCTGACCTGGTTCCCTGCTTTTCTCAGACTCCGCCATAGAGCAGGGGTCCTGCGTGGTCTTACCCTAATGTTGGAGGCCACAACCGTAGGGTCATCGCACACCGACTCGATGAAAAACACCTGGGAAGAAGAGAGGCAGAAACGTTAGGAAGCAATAAATGTGGTAACGCAAAGGGCCAACTTTGGTATCACTGTGATGCCATCACAATATGAGAGGAGGAATGACCCCACTCAGAAATCTTCAAAACATAAAAAAGGAACCACGTATTCAATCTCAAGTCCTTGCCCAACGGAGAGATGTCTCCGCACCCTCCACCTTTCGTAGTGACCCTAGAAGCCAGCACCAGGAAGGCCCTATCTACATGTGCAAAGCCAGGGCAGCAGGAGCTGAAGGACCAAGTATAAATCAGCTGACTCCTCGGGGTTCTCCTCTCTCCTGAGCACTCCAGGGCAAGACAAGACGTCTGACTCACCTTGAAATCATTCTCTTTGGCAAAGTTAAGGATCATGTGTCTCCTCTCCCTAGTGGTGTTGGTGGCATCGAAAACCTGGGAGAGAATAAGGATAGTGAAGAGAACCCAAGGTTGAGTTTTAACAGCATTTACCAAGTCACCAAGGAGATCATCAGGCCTGTCACTTCTAGGTAGAAGCCAAAAAATGTGATTCCCAGAGAGACTGGCCCCTGCCCCACAGCCCTCCGCTCTCTGCCCTCTCCCACAAACTCCAGCTCCCAGGAAGGGGTAGGGGGGGATGGAAGAGGAGGGGAGGGCACAATCCTTAAAGCAAACGAGTAACAGTAACCTGCAGGGAAGGTGCATAAGGAAGAGACACTGGCTCCGTGGCTGCGGCCACTCCAGGTCCAGCCTGCCTTGGCGGGTGGTGCCGAGTGCACACAGAGGAGAGGTGAGCAGAGCACATATCAACTGGCTGTGCCTGACTCTGCCCGCTACCCACCTTCCTGGGCCCCTGTGCTACTCTAGCCACCTGCTTCCCTCAGCTCTCAGGACAGAGGCAGTCGTCGCTATTGGAGGTGTCCCCACAATGGCTCTTGGCAATGGCTGGGCTGTGTCTACATTTCACCCTCTCCAGGGCACCATCCCATTCAGGACTGGAGATAGAGCCAGCACACTCCCGACTCACTGAAATTTGGCCCCCTTCCTTCATCAGGTAACTTTTGACGTCTCTCAAGGCAGCGAGGGCACACTGCCTGCAACAAAAAGAGGAGAACATGCATCAGAGCCTGCCCATCTGAGCAGTGACTGGAGGTCCTACTGCTGAACTGGCCAGGCTGGCCAGGGCTGCCAGTACAACACCCCGCAGGCCCAGAGGCTCCTCACCAGAGCTGCACAGAGGGCTGCAGTGACTGTCTAGAATGGCGCTCATGCTGGCTGCACACTGAAACCCCCCAGGAGCTTTTAAAAAACCTATACCCAGCCGACACCAGTTTGGCTCAGTGGATAGAGCGTCAGCCTGCAGACTGAAAGGTCCCAGGTTCAATTCCGGTCAAGGGCATGTACCTTGGTTGTGGGCACATCCCCATTGGGGGATGTGTAGGAGGCAGCTGATCGATGTTTCTCTCTTATCGATGTTTCTAGCTCTCTATCCCTCTCCCTTTTTTCTGTAAAAAATCAACAAAATATAAATATATTTTTTTTTTTTAAAAAAGAAAAGAAACCTATGCCCAAGTCTGGCCCATAGATCCTCACCAAACTAGTCTGGGGTAGGTAGGCCTGGCAATGGGATCGTTCCAAGCTCCCTGGTTATTCTAAAGTGTAGCCAGGGTTGAACACCATTGCACTTGGGTTTCATGATCACCTTGGGCTTAAAAAACAAAACAAACAAAACACCACCACCCTTTTCAGTAAATGTAGACACAGCTGGTTTTCCATGAAAACGATTTTGTTCATTCTTCATAATGAAACATTGTTGTTGAGCTGGATTAGAGCATCCGGAGCAGATAAAAGCAGCAAGCCTCAGAGCGGCCAGGAAATTCCTCTTAATACACATGGAGGTGGGGCCAGATCTGATGGTGACCTGCAGAGAGCCACACTGCAGGCTAGCTTCCTCTTTCTCTTACCAAGCCTGGCTTTCAAAAGCAAAGCAAACCAAACCCCAAAGCCTCCTGCGACAGCTCAGCAGCTCGGGCCTTACTTCCGGACTCTCATGGCCTCCTCGTTGTCAGGGCGGAAGAAGTTGTAGGAGCTGTAGTGCTTCACAGCCTCCCGGCGGTACTCTCCAACGTTGAACACTGCAGAGGGAATGGAGGGGTCACTCAGCTGGCCCCCAGGAAAAAGGGCCACTCACACAGCTAGGAACTCTCTCCAAAAAGGGAAGCCAAGCGCGCGCACGCACACACACACACACACACACACACACACACGCCAACTTGAATAAGAGAAGGTGAACTGCCTTGTCCAGTGCAATCACTGACCTAGAATAGAAGGCAGCCCAGCTTCCCCAAGACCAAACACGGCTCAGAGTCTCCTGCTTTTCCACAGGTCACCTACAGCCCAGCCCTTTCCAGCCTCAAGAGATCAGGGGCTGGAGGCTGAGACTGAGAATAGGTGGCAGCCATACATCTAACGAAAACAGACAATGCTTTCTGCCGATGGTGCCCAGGAGACAGCAGGCTTGCGCACCATAGCCAAGTCCAAATCAGCCACCCTTCTGCAAACGGGGCAGCCTGCACCCACAGGAAGCACTGAGTATTTACTGGGCACTTACTATCGAAGGCGCTGTGCTGGGCCCAGCGGGGAACAGCAACTGCAAAAGTTAGTCCCTGTTCTTAAGACATTTCCCATACAGTTGAGAAACTAGGCAGAGATACATCACAATATAGTGAACCGTACGGAGCAATCTATGACCATCAGTGATGAGTATCACAACTGAGGGCCATGGGAAGAATTTAAAGGAAAAAGCTCAGCACAGACTTCGGGGCCAGAGGAGGCTTCTTTCTTGGAGGCAAAGGTTGAGCTGGGCAGGATTCAGGGCAGAGGGACTAACAGAGCGGCCAGTTAGAAAAGATCTCAACACAAGGTAAGGGAGTGTAAACAGCATGGTGGGGAAAAGCCACAAAAAGTCCCCAAAATATAGGGAGAGATCAAGCCAAGATAGTCCTTACGTGGTGAGCCCCAACAGCTGGAGATGGGGCAGTGGGGGGCTTGGTGAGCAGGATTTTCAACACCCCTTGGGACATGGCCTCACCTTTCGTGGGGACACCAATCCAGTTGAGGTAGCGAGTCAGCTTCTTGGATATGTAGGTCTTACCCCGGGCTGGGAGGCCAACCATGACAATCACTGTTGGGGAGTTGGTCAGCTTTGGCCCACAGGCTGGAAAGAGAAATAAAAGTGCCATGAATGAAGCAGTGCTCAAGGATGGACCAAGTCCTGTGTCCCACAGTAAACTTAAAAATTCCACAGAAATTCCTATTTCATTCCCACCTGAAAGCCCTGGGCATTATACAATCCAGTGGGGCTAGCGCCCCCTGGTGGCCAGAGCCCCTTAGTCACACCTTGTAGTCCATCTTGTTTTCAGGTGATGAATGACAGGAATCTCAATTCCCAGCCTGATACCAGAGCCCCAAAGCCAGCTGGGAAGCCGGTTACTAACCCCAGAGTAGAAGGCACTCCACGCCCCCAACACCAATTAGCATGAGGTCAACAGGTTCCTAATGCAATATGTAAATTGAGGTGGCAGGTAGGAGTGGGGCTTCTACAGTTGAAATACAGAGGCCAATCACCAGTTTCCCAACCTCCACACAGTAGGTCTGGATGACCTTCCTTAAAACCGTTTTTAAAGAAAGACAAGTAAGAGTTTATCAACTGAAAGTATGTCAGAGACCCAGAATGCAGTCCCAACCCCATCAAGAGTGACAGATAAATTCCTCTGTCCTTGAGACTCTCCTGCCCTTTTCTGCCAAGTTCTGACTGATGCCAGTGCTCTGCTTAAGAAATGGCAGGTCAAGCCCTGGCCGGGTAAGTCAGTTGGTTAGATCATCATCCTCATATGCTAAGGTTTGGTGTTCGATCTCAGGTCAGGGCGCAAACTAGAATCAACAACCAATGAATGCATAAACAATGGAACAAGAAATTGATGTTTTTCTCTTTCTCTTTCTCTCTCCCCCTCTCTGAAATCAATAAATAATAAAAAGGAAATGCAGGCAACAGAGTCCCAGATGCTCCAGGGCACAGAGCCTTGGCAGAGTCCTGGGTAACCCAGAAGGTCTTGCCTTGTGAATCTCCTCTTGGCTTCACTGCGTAACTACTGTCCCATGTTCCTCAGAATCTCAATAAGACAAAACACCAGGGAGAGAGGTTTTTCACTGTGTTTTAAGAAAGCAGCCAAAAAGAAAAGGGCAGCCCATAGAGCCCTACTCTAAACCTTTCACGCACAGTGTTTCCTTGGCTGGCGTCTTGCCCCTGAGACTCTCAGGCAACTCCAGTATCCTGGTGACGAGTACACGTGAGCCAGGGGCTGCCCACTGGGAGCAAGACTGGCATCTGCCCACTCCCAGCCCAGCAGCGCTGCCGGAGCTCACTGACTGCCAGTCAGCCCAGCTCTCCTCAGCAGCCATGCAGCACTGCTTCCCAGGCACCGGCTACAAGGGTGCAGGAAAAGGTATTCGGGTCGCACCCCAAAACTAGGCCATCGTCAGATTTAGACAGGGGCTCTGCTTCTAATAGGTGAGTGCCAGATGGGGGAGAGGAGAGAAAGCTACCAGGCCACTGACAAGCACAGGCTAAAGGAAGAATGCTTCCTCTTAAGCTGGATGTGCCCCCACACATGCCCACGCTCAGCCTGGTGACCAAACTGAGGTCAGATGTCCAAATGCCCACTACAGGTCTAGGATCTATGCCCTGGACCTAAAGGCTAGGGGCAAGGAGGAAGCAAGCACACTGCACAGGGGCTGTTTCTTTAATGGTTTTGACCATCAGTGACCTCCATGCAGAGTGAGGAGGAGGAAGAGGAGAAGGAGGAGGAGGAAGGCCATCGGGAGGCCAGAACACATTCAGGAGCTACAAAAGCTCAAGCCAAGATTCCTCAGATCCCAGTGGCCATGACCAAGCAAGTGCCTAGAAATTTCCCTGCCCAGCGTGAGCACATGAATAGAGGGAAAAAAGCACCAAAGGACTTTCTTGTATCCCAAGGGACAACAGAGAAAGATGACAGGCTCCCCAAAACCAACGGGAACATAAGACACACCCTCCCATATGCATTGTGGCAGCTGTAGGTGATACATGAGGAAAGTGTTCTCACTTGTGCCCCAAAACAATACTTATTGTACTAATCATCCCCCCAAGCCATTGGGTTTTCCCTGGTCTTATCTGATGCCCTCACAAAGCTACTGCTCCCAAGAGCATCCAAACATGAGACAGATGGAGACACACACACACACACACACACACACACACAATCTCTGTGCACATTTATGAAATACTTTTGTTGGGACTCATGCCAAGGAAATGAAGACATATTGACTGATTTATCAAATTGGGGATTAGTTCTACTACCCACTAATCATACGAATGAACTCCAAATCTCCTCTGGCAGTAGATGCTTTGGCAAGAAAAAGCAAAAAGACATGGCAGAGTAAATATCCTAAGGTAAAAAATCAGGTTAAATCTCAAGTCTAAATAAACCATCAGTCCTTTGTTTGGCAAAGCGGAAAGTGTTCTTCCTATTCCTTTGGCTTGTTGTGTAAGGCTCAGAGGAGCTGGAAGGGGGACACCAAAGGTGGCCACAGCTGTCCCTGGGCCCAGGTGCTCCGGGGTCTCAAATAGAACAGGGAAACCACAAAAGCTTTTGACTAACCCTTGGAGTCTTAATATCCATAATCCATCCCTACTTCTTACTTTGTAATATTTTATTTAATGCTCACCAGAGAATATGTTTTAACTGATTTTTTTTTTTTTTTTGAGAGAGGGAGAAAGAGAGAGAACATCAATGTGTTGCTCCATACATGCCCCAACTGGGGAACAAACCCACAACTGGGACATATGCCCTGCTCAGGTCCATATACCACAACCCTCTCATGTACAGACCCGAATAGCCAATCCTGAAAATGGTCAGCCAGGACAGAGGCTGCAATTCCAATACCAGCCCTACAACCCAGGTTAATCTGATTATATGCTAACATATTCTCTATTAACTTCTCTGATAATATATAACCCGCTGACATAAGCGGATACTTGACAGCTGTCCTCACCTACTATACTTATAACTACAACTCATGCTCAGAATATAAAATCAACCACTGGAAGACATTTTGCTATCGCTCCCATCCCTCCTACGAGTTTTCTACCCAGAAACCCTCCAAAATGCTAACCTCAAAAATACCCAAGTCATTTGTGTTCACTTCTACAAATGGGTAAGTTATTGCTTCAATGACAAGCCTAAGGGGAACCATTAGAAGGGACTGTTTGCGTGTAGCCCTGACAAGCGTTGCTCAGTGGTTAGAGAAGTGGTCGGCAAATTCATTAGTCGACAGAGCCAAATATCAACAGTACAACGATTGAAATTCCTTTTGAGAGCCAAAATTTTATATTTTATTGATTTTTTTACAGAGAGAAAGGGAGAAAGATAGAGAGCTAGAAACATTGATGAGAGAGATACATCGACCAGCTGCCTCTTGCATACCTCCTACCGGGGTGTGCCCACAACCAATGTACATGCTCCTGACCGGAATCGAACCTAGGACCTTTCAGTAGGCAGACCAACGCTCTACCACTGAGCCAAACCAGCTTCAGCGAGAGCCAAATTTTTTAAACTTAAACTTTTTCTAACACCAATTCTTCAAAATAGACTCAGCCAGGACATGGTATTTTGTGGAAGAGCCACACTCAAGGGGCCAAAGAGCCGCATATGGCCCTCAAGCCACAGTTTGCCGACCATGGAGTTAGAGCATCAGCGCGCACGCACGCCAAAACCTCTGCACCAAAGGGTTGCGGGTTGGATCCCAGGCACAGGTTGGGGCACGTGCAGAAGGCAAGCAATTGATGTGTCTGTCTCACCTCTCTCTCTCTCTCTCTCTCTTTCTCCCCCTCCCCCTTTCCTCCTTTCTACTTTCTCTAAAAATCAATGGAAAAAATATCCTTGGGTGAGGATGAACAAAAGAAAAGATAGACACATGCAGATGGGGTCAGTCCCCAGCACTGCCTGATGGAATTTTGATCATTGTGTGTTTACAGTAACCACTGAAACCTACTCCCACCAGGCAAGGGCACACCAAACTCTGTAAGAAAGACCTGCTGTGACCCTGCAGTTACACCCTCACCAAGGAAGGGCTCTCTGGCAAAACAGCTGCATGCACTTGGCCCTTGGAGAATGAAATGCAGGCTCAGAAAATGATAGCAAACACGTAACTATTGTCTACTAGACATAAACGCTCTCAGGGATCACATTAGCTCAAAGAGTCTGCTTTAGTTGATGTTTAAAACCAACATCTAGCTCTAACTAGTTTGGCTCAGTGGATAGAGCGTCAGCCTGTGGACTAAAAGGTCCCAGGTTTGATTCCGGTAAAGGGCATGAACCCTAATTACAGGCACATCCCCAGTAGGGGGTGTGCAGGAGGCAGCTGATGGATGTTTTTCATCAATGTTTCTAACTCTCTATTCCTCTCCCTTCCTCTCTGTAAAAAATCAATAAAATATATTTTAAATAAATAACATCTAAGTGAGTTTGCCCAGGAGCATGTGCCTGAGGCTTTTGGAGAGGTGGGGGTGGGGTAGGGGGAGAATCCAGCTGAACCAACCCTTTTCCAAAAGCTATTCTGTACTATTCGATGAATACCATACTCACTATTTTGCATGCACATTTTAACACACGCCTAACTAATCTTTGTCCAATGAATGGCCCTCCCAACCCTACATGGTCTCTGCCAAGGACACTGAGGGACAGAGCAGTTTCAGTGAATCATTTGACAACCTTGGGAGGCAATACAATAGCATAGTGGCTCAGAGGACAGGGTCTGGAGTCAAATAGAGTTCAGAGCCAGTTCCCACAGCTTCTTTGGACTTTGAACAAGTTCCGTGATCTCTCACAGTCTTAGTTTCATTTTCTAAGTGAAATAGAGGGATGCTTCATAAAGTTTCTTGGGAGGATTCACTACAATGTAATACATGGGAAATGCTTTCTTCAGCTGCCTATGTCAGCATCAGCCTTTATAGCTTTCATCACCCCAGATGAGGAAACAAAGACCCACAAGTGAGGAGAGGGCCCACCATACAAGTACTGAGAGACATGGTTGGGGCTCACTTAAGTCTCTCTCACCTGAAATTCTTTAAGTGCTCTTTCCTAAACTAGTGGCTCTCCACCAGTGGCTGAATCTACAGCACTCTTAAAAAAACAGGATGCAGCCCAGCCTGCGTGGCTCAGTGGTTGAGCATTGACCTATGAACCAGAAGATCACGGTCCAATTCCCTGTCAGGGTACATGTCCAGGTTGCAGGCTCCATCCTCAGTGGGGGTGTGCAGGAGGCAGCCAGTCAATGATTCTTTCTCATCATTGATATTTCTATCTCTTCTCCCTTCCTTTATGAAATCAATAAAAATACATTTATTGCCGGTGGCAATTCTGGCTTGATTTAAAGTATCATATGGATTCTGCTACAAATGACTCCAACAGTATAGGTAGGAATTTCTCTGAAACACGCCCCTCCCCCCCACCTTCCTTCTTTAAATTAGAATGCCATCAGTGGCTTTTAGGCCCTGCTGAGATGAAAACCCTTCTATTAATACACAGTATGCAACCTACTTTACAGATGGGAAAACTGAGGTTCTTTTTTTTAAAATTGATTTGAGAGAAGTGTTGATTGGTTGTTCCACTTGCTTATGCATTCATTGGTTGCTTCTTGGATGTGCCCTGACCAGAGCTCGAACCCAAATCCTTGGCATATGGGGAGGATGCTCTAACCAACTGAGCTGTCTAGCCAGGGCCGAGAAGACTAAGATTCTGAGTGGGTAAATAAGCAGGGACTCCCATGCAGAGGCTCTCCACTTTTGCTGATGATAAACAAAGGATAGGCAGCCCTTGCCAGTCCTTGTCAATGAAGCTGATTTACCAAAGTCAGTTAAGTCTCCCCAAGTTATGGTTTGCATTTGAAGGAAGCTGCAGGCTCTGTAAGAAGCATTCACCACCATGTGGGTATTCTAACAGGGCATCCAATGGATGTGCTTCAGAGGAAGAAATATCAAAATAATCACTCTGGGGTTTCCTGATGTTTCATTGCTCTTTGCACATGATTAGTAATGTTCCCCATGCCCTCAAAGGAATCTGCTGCAGACCCCCAATTACGACACCACATAGAAAGATGCCAAGAAAAACAAACCCTGTTTTCTCTATTCTGATGAAAGACAAATGTGGCTATAGGAACCAAGAAAGACACCGCTTCTTGAAATAAGGGCATGTAATAACTATTTAGGCTGCAGTTATTTTTATAAGAACACATCTGAGAACCACACTGCGTGTGAGAACCACACACAGAATTCCAGACGTAGGCGGGGAAAGGGAATTAATCCATCCGCTTTAGCATCCCCCGCCCCACCCCCAAGCTCTGAAAGGTTCTGACAGGGATTTTTAGGCAAACCTCTCATTGGCGTGTGAGACGTGCAGACTGACAGAGTCTAATGGATGGGTCTCTGATGCCGGGAGGAAGGAAGCATCACTGCACATTAGTGTCTCTCATAATCACAGGACTGGGCAAAACGCAGTCAATCTGTGCCCTCTACATGCAGACTCAGGGTCATTCCTCCCAGACCTCAGCCCACCACCATGAACCTCAAGGAACTACTAAAGGTGCGTGTGTGTACACACACACACACACACACACACACACAAATGCATGCATTTACATATAGAGAGAGAACTAACATATATTCATATGACCAATTACAGTTTACAAAGTGCTCCACAAATACACTTTATTCCAAGTCACAAAGGGTTGAATTGAATTGTTTCTGCGTCTTGCTGTAGCCAAATCTCCCTCACCATTTGAGGCACTGCATTCCTCACCACCAATAGGTTTTATAGAAATACAAGCAGACTGTGGTCAGTTGTTTATAAACTATTTAAGAGCATATCTAGTCCTAGCTGGTTTGACTCAGTGGATAGAGCATCATCGGCCTAAGGACTGAGGGGTCCCAGGTTTGATTCTGGTTAAGGGCACATGCCTGGGTTATGGGCTCAACCCCCAACAGTGCAGGAGACAGCCAATCAATGATTCTCTCTCATCATTGAATTCAACTTAAAAAATAAAAATAAAAAAGAGCATATCTAGTCCTGGCCAGTGGGGCTCAGATGATGGGGCGTCACCCCATGCACTGAAGGGATGCCAGTTCAACTCCCCGTCAGGGCACTTGCCCCAGTGTCAGGCTCAATTCCCTGGGGGATGTACAGGAGACTCCCACATCAATATTTCTCTCCCTCCCTTCTTCTCCCTCTAAAAGTCAATAAACCATTCTTTAAAAAAAAAAAAAAAGAGTCTATCTAAAAGATGCAGAACTGCCAAACTCCCAGCTACCTTGCAAATAAACCCAGTCCTCCATACGGCTTCCATGGCCCCAAGAACCTGCAGGTCCAGCAAAGGCGACAAGCTGATGGAGGAGGGGCCCCAAGTGTCTGGAGTGCCTACCCAGGTCCCCATCTCCTATATGACCATGAGCACCACAGGGCCAGTTCTCTCCACCTCCTGGGGCAGGAAGCAGTGATTCACACCAGAGCTGTCACCACATCTGTGTGAGCTGTCATGACAGCAGAGGTCAGCAGGCCACCTCCCCTAAACAACCACTGATGCCTAGAAGCCATCCCTAGGGTTTGCACCTGGGATCCCATGTTTCCTCAGGCAATCCAACCTGGGGGCAGAACACCTCCATTGGGTTCTACCCAATCCACCTGATGGGCTCCTGGGCAAGGTTACCTGGAGGAGCGGTGTTACCTTCAAACTACTGACTACCCTCCCTTTTAAGAGATGACTCCCCGTAGCTAGGGATAGAACCTAAGGCAAACCTTTCCAAAGCACTTCTGGCCAACGACAGACGGGGTAGGTTGGTGAACTGCCAGCAAATTCCGAGCACGGTCCAGTGCGTTCAACTCGCGCGCCCCCGCGAAACGCTGCCAACTATACAATCCGGGATGCACAGAGCCTCCCCCAAACAGGAGTCAATGGCTTGATTCCAGGGCAAGCTCTCTTGTGGGCTCAGCACAGGAGCTAGAGATGGGAGCAGAGACAGGAGACGGATATACGTACAGAGGGAAAGAGAGAGAGAGGTGAAAACAGAGGACAAATATAAAGATGATAAATATACAGAAAAAAAGAAGAAATATGGGGGGTGGGAATATAGAGATGAGACAGGAATGTATGGAAAAGGTGACTGAAAGTAGAAACCGATGCAGGGAGGAAACAGAATATAGAGGGGCTAAGAGATGCGACCTAAATAGAGGTAAAGAACAACAAAAAGCAAACAAACAAAAGCAAAACAAACAAAAAAAATAGATGTGAAGAGAGAGGATTAGAGAGAGGTGAGGTAGAGACGGAGACCCGAGGTGACCCTTCGCGTACGAGCGGCCTCATCCCTCCGCCGGACTCAGCCCAGCGGGCGCAGGGAAGCCTGGCCGAGACTGGGGAGCAGCGGACGCCCCTTCTCAGAGGTCCCAAAGCAAAGGCTCACTGTGTGCCCTGCACTTCCCGCCCCTCCTTCCCCCGCTGCTCCCCGGAGCCAGGACCCCGGCGCGATCGCGGTTCCCGGCTCCCTCTGCGCTCGGGGGAACCGCCCGGTGGTGCACACACCGGGCTGGGGAGGCGCAGCGCCGGCGCCAGAGCCGCGCTGTCCCCGCCCCGCGCCCCGGGGAGGAGCGGCCGGCGCCCCGCCCGCAGACACTGCGGTGGAGGGAGGCACCGGCCCCAGAAAAACGCGCCGGTGGGTGGCGAGGAGTCGGTACAAAAGCTCCGCGCCGACCGCACAATGGCTGTGCCCTCCGCGCGGCGCGCCGCTCCCCGGCCGCCGGGCCCCTGCACGTGTCTGTACTCACTTCTGGGCAGCGAGGGGCGGTGGTCGATCGGGATCCAGATCTTCTGCACCCGGCTCTGAGTCAGCTCCAGGGGCATCTTCACAGCCTAACCTCGGCGGCCCTCCTCTTGCGAATAACTTAAGACTGGGGAAGAGATCGGCTGGTCGACTCCCAGAAACAAAGGGAAAGAGGGAGTTCGTGCGCTGGGGCGCGGCTCGGGCGCTCTCCTTTGCGCAGTTTTTTGGAAACGTGCTTTGTGCTAAGTGATGGGCGCCTGCATGGGGCGAGAGGCTCCGCGAACGGTCCGAAAGGGGTGCGGGCCTGGGGATACACCCGCAACTTCCGCGGGGCCTGGCTCGCCCCCCAGTGAGTCCCTCACTCAGGGATGCTGTGACAAACGCAGTCCCAGGGAGCCAGCTCCAGTCCTCCGCGGCCTCCTCCCGCTCGGCTAGGATGCCCCGCGCTCCGCTGGGGCTTTTAAGAGCCCGGCCGGCATCGGTGCACACGTCAGCTTTGGGGCGGGAACGCATTCTTCTGGTTCCAGCCCCTCCTTCACGTGGGGAGCGGGTGGGGAAGGGCGGGGAAGGGCCGCGAGCGAGCCCGGAGGCAGCCTGCTGGTGCCCCCTGCAGGCTGGCATCAGTAGTGCGACAACCAGCTGCAAGATAATGCCCTACACCCAGCCTTGGCTGAAGGTCCTAGACTCCGTAAGCCTCCTCCTACCATCCCCTGAAAACGACGGGCACGGCTTCCCAGAATAATCATCTCAACTGTGCTGGAAGGAAAGGAGCGCTACCGTCCACTGGTCTGTAGACCCGCGCAGCCGAATCTCCCAAGAACGCTGGTTAAAATGCCTCTGGGAGCGGGACTCTTAATACTCTGCATTCTTTAAAAAAAATTTTTTTTAAAGTTAATTCTCACCCGAGGATATTATTTCCATTGAGTTTTAGAGAAAGTGGGAGGGAGACAGAGAAAAATATTGATGTAAGACACACCACATCGATTGGTTGCCTCCCCCCCCCCAAACCAGGGCGGGGGAATGGAACTGCAGCTGGGGTTCCTGCCCTTGGCCAGGAATCGAACCCGCGACCTTTGGTGTGCTGGCCAACGCTCTAACCACTGAGCCAGGCAGTAAGTACTCTGCATTCTTAACATGCAATCCGAGTCAGGCACAGTCAAGTTGAAGAATCCGCTTAATGTTAAAGGTCGGAGAGAGGAAAGCCTGAGGGGAAGATGCTGAGCGCGCCTGTGGGTCACTCCTCGCCAGAGATGCTCCCTGATAATGAGTCTCACCAGGATCCCCGCCACCCCGGTGCTTCGTCCACACCCTGCCTACTTTCCTAAATCCCTTAGAAACCTTGGCTTGCCTTAATATTGCTCTCCGAACAATCATTCCCAAGATCTGGAACCTGGGCAGCGCATGATGGGGGGGGGGGGGGGGGGGGAAGAAGGGGGGAAGCCCCGGAGACAGGACCCAAATAGACCCAAGTGTCTTGGTTCTCTCAGTCACCATTCACAATATTTTCATCATGCCTTTATCTCTCCTAGTGGAAGAGCAAATAAAACGGGATCCTTCTGCAACCGGCAGCTGATCGTCTGACTCTAAGCCCCATACGTATCGCGGGGGCTGCCACCGGGGAGATGGCGATCCGGGGTGTGTGTGCGCGATGCATCAGCCCAAGAAGCGCCGCCCGCCTCGCCTGGGTGCGCACCTCCGGCCGGGGCTGGGCTGGGCGTGATCGGGAGGAAGGAGGCGGCGCTCCCAGAAACCTTCACTGCGGCCCGGCAGCCTGAGCCGAGGCCGCCGCCACACGTCGCTCACGTCCCACATGGCTCCGCTGGGTCGGAGCCCGCTCTCCTGCGGCGGCCGGCACAGCTGTTCCTGCCCCGCCCCGCCCAGGCCTCCCTCCCATCTCCCCTGCACCCCAGCCCGCTCACAGGCCCGGGCGCTGAGCCGGGGCCCTCCACCACCCTCCTCCATCCCCGCTAGACCCCGCCCTCCCCGGAATCCCTGCTCTCCCTTCAACGACTTTGCTGACGGTCGGTTTCGGTGCTCGCAACTGTTCAGAAACCCGGTGCATTCATTGCATTGGGCCTGTTTTTCTGCAATAAGAGCAAATGCCATATTTGACACCCTATAACGCCCTAGGGAGAGTCCCACTCCACTCTTGAAATAAAAGTGCGCCGATCAAAGAGAAAAGCATTCACAAGCAAAGCACCCGATCCTGGAAGGGGGCCGGGGGGGGGGGGGGCGGTGCGGAGGGGAGGATTGCTGCCCGGCGTTTCACAGAATCAGGAAGGGGGGCCGCTGTGCCTGTGTTGGCGGCTGCGCCCCTGGATGCCTGCACACTTGCTTCCCCGGGAAGAACCGGTGTACCTGCATGCCTGCTACTTTCCCACTGGATTTTGTACACACACACTTACAAACAGGGCCAGGAGTCGAGGCGGCATTCTTCCACCCTCTAAATTTGCAAATAACTGCGGTGGGTTTCAGCTTAGGCAGTGAGAGGTCCAAAACTTGGAGGTACCTCTTTAATCTCCTGACCCAATAACATGTTTGTCCAGGGTCCGGCTCTGAGGGTACAAGGCAGTATATGAACTCCCAACTTAAGCTTTAGCGCTCGCCGGCACTTTCCCAGCCCGTGTATCAGTAAGGCCTTAGGTGGCCATTGCTGCCCCAGCAAAGACTGAGCTCTTCCTCATCACTTCCTGCACCTGATGGAGAGCAGGCAAATGGAAGTTCACGGAACCCCCCTCCCACTTCTGACATCTAAGTGCAAACTGGGAATGAGAGGGAGACAAGGCTGAATTAATGCTTTAAAGAGGACAGCTTGAATTGGTGCTACTCTTGCAAATCTCAAGTAAATTAGTGTTGCATCCTATGGGAGATAAAATTACTTCACTGCCAAACTGTTATCAACAACCCAGGCCTGGTAGGTAGCAGCTTAGTCCTGTGCATGGAAAGGTTGATGGTTCCATTCCCAGCTCAGGGTACATACATAGATGGTTCCATTCCACCCTCAGAGCACTTACCTAGGTGATGGGCAGATACCCGGTAGGGGCAGGGAACAACCAATGGTTGCCTCTCTCATACATCAGTGGTTCTCTCTCTCTCTCCCCCCCTCACTCCACCCCTCTCGCTCCCTTACCCACTCTCTAAAATCAGTAAGACATCCTCAGGTGATGATTTAAACAAATAAAAATAAACAACCCAACTGCAACTGAATGTACTGGTTCAGAGTTTATGATTTAGACATCCATGTAACTCTTCCCCTAGTTCTGCTGATGGCCCCATCGTCACCAGCTTCTAGGGCTTTTTATTAAGTTTCTGGTCCCCAAGCTGGTGGGCAGCAACTCACTCCACTCACTCCTTCAAAAGACTGCACACAGTGTAAACACATCCTTAATATGAAAAATACTTTTTTAAAGACAGGACGATTCCAAGTACTAGGAGAGATTCTATAATCCATAGCATTATTAAGGCTAGATAAATATAAATATTAAAGAGAGTAGAGGGAAGTTTGGAGATTAGAGTGGTTAAGAAACTAGATCTAAGGTCAAGAAACACAGCCAGTTTGACACGGACAAGTTTCCCGGGGGACTCGGGTTGCACTCCGCCTAACTCCAGGGTGCTGAGTGGAGTCCTGAAGGGGAAGACCACAGTGACCCGGCTCATCTCACTCAGAACAGTTGAGCTGTTTGGCAGGAAAGCACAGAAAAGGAACTCCTTGTGCAGGAAGCAATGCCTGGTGGAGGCACGTAGCTAGGTCTAGAGGCAGAAAATGGATGGTGGCAGTGGTTTTTCTCCATGACCTCTCTCACCCCAGTTCACGCTACTAACCAATTCATAACCTGCATTCCTGCTCCCTGTTGCTGCCATAACAACAGCAAAAAGCAACCCCATATCCATGATTCAGTGCCAGCAGGCCAGCTTGAAACAGTTAAACCGTGCTAGTGCCCACCTCCTCCCCGGGGAGAGAAGCAGAGAAAGAACAAGCTGTGGCAGGCTCTGAGCAATCAGAGTTGCTAATTAGACGCAAAGGGTCATCATTTGCTCCCATGAACCATCCTATGTCTAAGAGAATGCAGTGAGACACCAAATAAAAGACCAAAAAAACAAACAAAAAAAAAAAACCTCACTTCACCACCCATCCAAAGACAAGGGAGAGGGGCAACTTTTAAAAAATGTTTGTTATATAAGCATAATCAGTGCTCATGGACAACAGGGGGGTGGGGGTGGGGGCATATGTGGGGAGGGGTTTGGGATGGGAATAGGTGGATGAGGACAAATATGTGATACCCTAATCAATAAAGAATTTTTTTAAAAGTTTGTTCCTCATACATGAATGGGAACCTATATAGGCATCCATGTAGTGCCACATCGGCAGATTGAAAACCCAATTCAAAACCTGGTCCATGAGACCAGCTAGTGGCTCAGTTGGGTGAGCGTCCTCCTGTGAACCAAAAGGCTGCCATTTTGATTCTTGGTCAGAGCACATACTGGAGTTTCAGGTTCCTCCCCCTTTCTCCCTAGAGGACAACAGATCAACCAATCTCTTTCTCTCTCTCTCAGCATGTCCTCGAGTGAGGATTTTAAAAATTGAAAATAAAAAACCTGCACAGTGAGGTTTATAACAGCTTTATTCGTAATCGCCAAAACATGAAAGCAGCTAAGATGCCCTTCAGTAGGTCAATAAATGAACTGTGGTCCATCCAGACAATGAATTACTATTCAGCACTTAAAAAGAAAAAGAAAAAGAGCCATCAAGCAATGAAAAGACATGGAGGAACCTTAAGTGCATGTTTATTAAGTGACAGAAGTCAATTTTAAAAGGTTCCAGCCCTGGCCAGTATGTTTAGAGTGTTGGCCTCTCACACCCAAGCATCTGGGGTCCCATACGCAGTCAAGGGCATGCACCTAGGTTGCAGGTTGGATCCCCTGGCTCTGGTCAGGGCACATTCAGGAGGCAACCAATAGAGTGTATGTCATATCTAAGTTTCTCTCTCTCTCTCTCTCTCTCTCTCTCTCTCTCTCTCTCTCCCTCCCTCCCTCCCTCCCTCCCTCCCTCCCTCCCTCCCTCTCTCCTTTCCTCCCTCCT